TAAGAATTCACATAGTGATTCTTATATGTGAACACATGGATTAAACTCCCAAATTTGGGGGGATATTAAAACAGTTTGACTGGGAGAATAAGCAGCACAGCGTAGCTAGAGGGGAAAAAACCAATTAGTTTGAGGAAATAAATGTATTAATAAGTGTAAGGACAACCAAAGTGCTGTTCTCCTCTAGCATTTTTTATAAAGTTAAAATATAATTCACCTACCATAAAATTCACCATGGAGTGGTTTTCAGTGCCTTCGCTGAATTATGCAATCGTCACCTCTAATTCCAGCACATTTCATAGCCCCCAAAAGAGACCCCGTTCCTGTAAGCAGTCACTCCCCACTCCCATTCCAGCCCCTGGACACCACTGGTCCACCTTCTGTTGCTATGGACCTGCCTGTTCTGGACACTTCATATAAACGGAGTCAGGCAGTATGTGGCTCTTTGAATGTGGCTTCTGCCCCTTATGATCCCACCACACGGTGAACGCCTGTCAACATGTCAGCTGTGCTGTGATTACTTGTTTAACTGCCTTCCTCCCTCGAGGGCAGACTACTATGCCCGGTTTACTTCTCATGCAGTGTTCAGGGCTGGCACAGAGGGGCCCTCGATGCCTGTTTGCTGAACGAACGATGCTTTTCCTATTCCAGGGAAACTGGTTGGGTGGCGTTGGGTGCGCCTTACACACACTCCTTACACCTGTAACAGCTCGGAAAGTTCTTACTGGCTCTAGATTGAGAGGGAAGCGGAGAGATCCCTGCAGCATGAAATAGCTTGCCCGGGCAATGTCAACATTTTCCTTTCTTGGGCTGCCGCAGGCCGGGGTGTCACCAACTGAGAACCGAAGGGAGGCTGAGCCGAACTTAACAATTTATTTGTCTTATGTGGGTGTATTCCAACTACATCTATTCATTTAAATGCATGGTTTAGTAGTCATTGGAGACATACATTTTTGTAAATGAATTCGTGTAGATACATAATTAACGCCTACTTGGAGGTTGTATGTATGTGTTCATTCCCTGAGAATTGAGGTATAGATATCCTGGGCTGCAGCGAGGTTGTCACTGATTTATATCAAGCTGAGATTCTGTTCTGAACGGAGCAGCACTGAGCTGTGAGGACAGGCGGGTGGGGGAGCAGGTGCAAGTCTTTCTTTCTGGAGGGAGAGAGCTCCAGTGAACGTGACACAGATCGTCCTTGAGGGTCTGGGTCCAAGGTCAAGGCACTTTCGCCAGGCCCCGGACAAGGCCTGAAGGCACTGCCAGCCTGCTCCTCGGACTGTCGTGGGTAAGAATCTTGCCAGAGGAGACTTGTCCCTGTTTAAGACACCAGATTCCTCAAATGTGACTCAGATTCTGTGAGATAAACAGTCTCTGTTCTCTTCCACACCAGGGTTCTGGGTATGAAGTTCCTGCTACTAGGAATGTTCCTCCCCCCGCCCCCCTTTCAACCAGTGAATGCTGACCCCTCCTCCAAAACTGAGTCCAAACTTCACGTCCTTTGATGCCTCCCTGCCGTAGACCAATTCCAGCATGTCATAATTTCAAGAGTTTCAGCAATAGCTTGATGAAACTTGGTGACTCAACAGGGTTGAGTCACACATGTAGTCAGCTGTTGGGAATGGCTAAAGGCATTTCCCCAAACCTGAATAGAAAACTGATTGTGGCTGCCAGACGGTTAAAGGGCATCTTAATCTACATGTTATTGCCTCCTACTGGCCAAACGCCTGAACAGCCGTAGGCTATTCCCCAAACTGACAATAGACTCTGTACCCTTTGAAACCTTACCCTTTGAAGTGTATTATCTCCACCTTGCCTTAGGACAAATTGTGTTAATAAAAGCAAGGGTTCTAGACAAGGAGGGAGTCTTCAGTTCCTTTCGCTGAAGGTCCTCTGACCCCCCAATGCCTTTCAAAATTATATCTCGTCTCCAGATTCTTTATTAGTCTCTGGATTCCTATGTCATCTACTCACAGCCCCTTTTCCAGATTCCTGAACCCTTCTTGATGCTGGGACAAGAACCCCAACACCTCCCATCCTCCCTGGGTGGTGTTCTGTAGTCTTCTGTGTTTCTATAGGATTCGTTCCAACCTGCCTAGCACTGGAAGTTTTAAAAAATCACAGGTATTTCAGGCTAGTTGAAAATGTGTCCCCTTTCTAGAAGTAGTCTTTTCTGATAAATTGGGGCTAAATATTTCCACATCTTTTCCTCTGTGTGTGTATGTATATTTTTAATGAAGATGGAATCATTTGTAGTTCTTATACTGAAATTTGCTTTTTGTACTTAATCAATTATGGAATTCGTGTGTTAACATATATAGACCTATCTCATCCTTATAATGTACCATTATGCATTTAACTACTGGTAGACACACAGATGGTCTCTGATGTTTTGCTCTAGGGAATGCCTGTGCCCCTGTCTTTATGCTTGTGGGAGCCCCAGAAGCACAGATTTGAGAAGTGCAGTTACAGTGCGCCATTGTGGCTATTCCCTGAACATTTAGTTCCAAGAGTGTCTCCTCTACCACAGCCTCTTGAGGACAGGGACATACTGTTTTATGTATTTTTTGTATCCCCCAGTGAGTATCATTGTGCCTGGAACTGTCAGGTGAATGTTTATTGAATAATTAAATGGATAGTCCTAGCTGGTTTGGCTCAGTGGATAGAGTGTCGGCCTGCGAACTGAAGGGTCCCGGATTCGATTCTGGTCAAGGGCATATGCTGGGGTTGCAGGCTCGAGGCAGCTGATCAACGATTCTCTCTCATCATTGATCTCTCTCTCTCTCTCTCTCTCTCTCTCTCTCCCTCTCTCCATTCCTCTCTGAAATCAATAAAAATATATTTAAAAAAGTTAAATGAATAGATGAATGAACGGCAGTGGAAAACTTTGGCGCCCAGAGAGCGAGTCACCTCGATATCCTCATTTCACGTCCTCTCCACCCATCGCTGTGGGGAGCCCGTCTCCCTGTGACCGGAGCATGGACTCGGAGGTCATCTCCCCGCCCGAGGGCAGGCGCTTCTATTGCTTCCAGCTGACACCATAGCGCGGCTTAAATCATTTCTTTCAGCCTCTCATTCTAACCTCTGTTTATTACCAGGCTGCACCTGCAGCCTCTTGGTTTTAACTTCAAATTTTTTTAAAAGAAATTACTAGCCCACTGGTTCTCAAGCTTGGCTGCACATGAGAATCACCTGGGAATCTTTTTAAAATCCAAAATCCTGATTTCTGGGCCTCGTCCTCCGGAAATTCTGTTTCTTTGTTATGTGGTGGGGCCACAACATGAATAACAAAGAAACAGAATTTCCGGAGGATGAGGCCCAGACATCAGGATTTTAAAAAGATTCCCAGGTGATTCTCCTGTGCAGCCAAGGTTGAGAACCACTGTGTAACTAGCCACTTGGTGAAATGGGAAGCCCAGGAGAGTGCTATACGCCTGTGGCAGCAGGATCTGCAGACACACACTTAGCAGGGGTGCGATTCCCTTCACATTTGTGTTGCCCCCGTCCCCTTCCCTCTGGGTAAGGTCGGCCCCCCCAGCTTGACTTCTTGCCGCTGTCTCTCCCCACTTTAGTCCATCTTGCTTATCACTGCAGCATGGGTTTTCCTAAAACCCTCCTCCTTTCTCAAATCTTTAATGGTTCCCATTTCATAAAAGCGAAACCTCCGGAGGCTGACATTAGGCCCCCGGGGTGTGCCTCATGCTCCCGTCACTCACCTTCCTAGCTGCCCGATCCAGACAGCGGTCTCTTCTCTACGCCTGTGCTTCCCAGCCTCAGGACTCTTTTTGTTTGTTGGTTTAAAGCAGTGGTCGGCAAGCTCATTAGTCAACAGAACCAAATATCAACGGTACAACGATTGAAATTTTTTAAACTTAAACTATATAGGTAGGTACATTGTTATTAACTTAATTAGGGTACTCCTAAGGCTTAGGAAGGGCCACACTGAAGGGGTCAAAGAGCCGCATGTGGCTCGCGAGCCCAAGTTTGCCAACCACGGGGTATTATATATGTCCCCGCCCCCCACTGACCTCTTCCAGCGGCCCCCTCCCACCCCAGGCCTTCATGGACTCCTGACCATGCACTTGCTTTAGTCTGGATAAGTCTCCATTTTTCTCCAGACAGTGAATCCTTCAGGATTCGGCCAAGTCCTTCCCAGGTGGGGACTTTGAAACCTGCTCCGGGGCCCACATGGGGCTCTCTGCAGAACTGTGTCAACCTGCTTCTTCCACCTTTTACCAAGTCCGCCTGCAGCCCCAGCACATGGCTGTTCGGAGCGGCTGTCCGCTCTTCACTCGGTCTGTGCTTCCTCTGTACTTAGTTTTATCTCCCCCCGTTCAGTGTAGGTTCTGGAAGGCAGAGCCGGGGCCTGTTCGGGTCTGCCACCAAAGCCGCCCGGCGGTCCCTGCCGGCCCCTCACTCAAGTGGATTAACTTTCTGTTTCTCTGGAGTCTTTTTTTTTAAAAACATTCTTTTATTGACTTCAGAGAGGAAGGAAGAAGGAGAGAGAGATAGAAATAGCAATGATGAGCCCTAGCTGGTTGGGCTCAGTAGATAGAGCATCAGCCTGCAGACTGAAAGGTCCCAGGTTCGATTCCAGCCAAGGGCACAAGCCTGGGTTACGGGCTCAATCCCCAGTAGGGGGGGTGCAGGAAGCAGCCAATCAATGATTCTCTCTCATCATTGTTGTTTCTATCTCTCTCTCCCTCCCCTTCCTCTCTGAAATCAATAAAAATATATTTTTTAAAAAAGGAAAAAAAAGAAATATCAATGATGAGAGAGAATCATTGATCGGCTGCCTCCTGCACGCCCCGCACTGGGGATCAAACTCACAACCCAGGCATGTGCCCTGACTGGGAATTGAACCGTGACCTCCTGGTCCAGAGGTCGATGCTCAACCACTGAGCCACACCAGCCAGCCTTTCCGGAGTCTTTAAGATGCGAACCAGGCGGTTGTTCTACAAACTGTAAGGTGTGACATGCTCTTCCTTGTCCTCCTTCAGCCATACTTCCCATCGCCTCCAGCTGCTGCACTGCGGTTTCCCATCACGTCCCCAGGCGGCTGCTGGACAGAGTGCACGCGTGTCGCATCCAGAGAGCGGATGGGGACTGCGACTTGGCGGCGGTCATGTGAGTGCCGGCGGCGGGGAGGCCTGCACCTGCGGGGTCTGCGTGGGCGCGGCCTGGGAGTCAGCATCTCCTTGTTCTTTCTACCCGTGACCTTTCTCTTGCCTCTTTGGCAGCCTCCATGTCAGGCACCGGCGGATCTGTGTCAGCCCGCACAGCCACACTGTTAAGCAGTGGATGAAAAAACAAGCTGCCAAGAAACATGCCAACGGCCACCCTTGCCACACGAAGAAGCACCATGGCAAGAGGCACAGCCAAGGGGCACATCCGGCGAGACCGGGCACGCGGCCCCCAAGCTCCGTGTTGGAGAGCGAGCCAGCGGACCTGTGAACAGATTCCTGCCGGGAATGTGGCCGGGGCTGGGTATGCATTGATCATGGGAATGTTACTTCTTGGGAGCCAAGAGGGCAAAAATCCCAATGATACAGTATGCAAACGTAGCCAATAATACACTCAACTGAGAAATGACATGAAAAGATAATGCAAAACTTCATATAATATTTTAAGAGCACAGCATACAGATACAATTTCTTCAACTTTATACTATAAAGTTGTCCAAACCTACAGAGAACTTGAAAGAATGGTATTATGAATCCCTGCTGTCATCTAGATTAATCATTGTTAATATTTTGCCATACTTGTTTTTCTCTCTATTTTTGTGTGTGTATATAAAACATTATATATGTAAATATATACATTTTTTGGTAAACCACTGGAAAATAACATAAACATTATGATACTTCACGCCTAAATTTATTTTTACTGGTACAATTTGGCATCCCTCAAGAACAAAGACATTTTCTATAGGATCACATTATCAGCTTTATACCAAAAAAAATTACAGTTTCTTATCTATATATTTCATGATCAAATTTCTCCAACTATTTCCAGAATATTTTATATAGTTTTTTTCAATCAATCAATCAAGTTTCACATATTGCATTTAGTCATTATATTTCTTTAGTATATTTTAATCTAGGAAAGTTCCTTTGCTTTTTTTCTTTCTTCCCATGGCATGGATATTTTTTTTAGAAGTCTGTGAGTTTGTTTCCTCATGATCATGCTCAGATTGAACATTTTCAGCAAGAATGCTTCCTGTGTGGATTAGTATATTTCTTCTCATTATTTAGAATTTATAAACATTAAAGCTCATTTTCTACATAGAAAAGTTTTAGCTGAATATCACTTTAAAATACATAGTTTGAATAACCACTGTTGATAATTACCGATGGATAAATTTGATGCTGAAACAAAAAAAAGGGTCTGCTTTGCTCAGGAGCCATCTACCCTGAAGTCAGTTCTGAGGGCTCTCGGGGAAGGTGTGGAATTGGGTCCCATGCGGATGATCTTACTCTCCCTACACACGAGCCTACACCTTGTAACTTCTAACCACCTTCCCACGCTGTGGGTGGATCCTCCTCTGCCTTCCTTGTCCACAGAAGCTTCGGGATGAGAGCCAGACCTGGTTTCATGATCAGCCATTAGATGTCAGGAGCACGTGTCCACCTGGGCAGGTGTCAGGTGTCCTGTGCTGCCCAGCTGGCCAGTCCCAGCAGTGGTGTGGCCCCAATGACTGGGAGGTGAGAAGGGACACACAGAGGTGCTGAGCCTGGTGTAGTCTAAAGTATCGCCAAGCGGCCTTTGTCTAACGCTGCTCATCGACACCAACTTAGCAGGTCATTTATTTGCTCTCGCCAATCATCCTGTGAGCTTTGTATTGCTTTCTCCACTTTTTGGATAAGGAGGCCTCAGAGATGCTAAATAATTTGCCCAGGGTCACACTCACACAGTAAGTGGCAGAGAGAAGCCTTGTGCCCAGAACTTTCCTGTTCTCTTATCGGCCCGGCAGAGGGCCCAGGAAGGTGTGGACACAGAGGTGGGGCAGAGGGAGAGGCGTTCAGATAAAGATCTGTGCACCTAGTGCTCCACAGAGGGCCAGAGGATGCCTGCCATCAGCGTCAGCGTTACCTGCAGCCTGGAAGTAAGCGTGCTGCTACAGGCGTGTTGGTGCTGATACTGGCAGTACCCTCTCCAGAGAGGAAAGCAGGCGCCAACCTGATTTTATTGAATTTCCCAATCGGAGGCAATGGAGAATGTGCACACTATCTATCACCTTGTCTTTGCAACCTGCCTCACCAGGTTCTTCTTTCAACTTAAAGACAGGTTATGTAAGAAAGTCCGCCTTCTTCCGCTTAGCCCCATCATGCGTTTTGTTGTGAGACTCCGATAGCACAGGGGAACTGAGGAAAATGGTTCCTTGGGAACAGCAAGCATCTGTTTCTCACAGTTCTGGGGGCTGGATGTCCAGGGTTCTGGCCTCCGCAGGTTCGGTGTGAGATCAGCGTAGTGAACTGGGGGAGCCGGGATGAGGCCTGTTTGTTAGGACTCTTATCTGTGCCCTTTTGCTCCCAGCGATGGGGATGATGAGGGGGGTGGCGTGTGGTGGGCAGGTGTCGTGTGTGAGCCTGTATGTGACCCAGGAGAGCTGCATCTGTGGAACCCAAGCATGCAGCACCTCCAGCCGGTCTGCGGCCCTGGGTCAGTAAGGCATCGCCCCCTGCACCCCATTATCCTGGGAAAAGCGCAGGCGGGCAGAAGCCATGTCGAATGTATTCCCACCAACATCCTTGTGCCTAGCCCCCGGCCTGGTCCATAGAAGGCGCTCAGTGAATATCTGCGCATAAGAGCTGCTCACATAGAACATGGAATCTGGCATCCAGTAGCCACTCCCCGTGGTGGCAAGCACAGCCACAGAGCTGGTAGACACGAATCTCTCTCTCTAGCTGGTGTTTGGAAAGCTTGGCACTGAGTTCTTAGACTCTTCGGGTGGAGGAGATAGAGAGGAAATATTCTTGTTTCGGGGAATAAAGGTAAGTTGATTTGCAGTCTATTACATGAGACGCCATTTCAGAGATTCGAAGCAGCTGGAAGGTGAGGACTGGAAGCTCTGACTCCTGCAAGGACAGGCCTGAACACGGCTATCGGAACTGGGTGTGGCCCTTCGTACAGTCACCTCATTTTTTTTTAATGTGAGAAATAGCTCCTTAATCCAAAACAGGCTCACTTTACTACCTAGGGGTAAAAGGAGAAACATGGCCCTTATAGTTCCCCAAAGTAAATTTCCAAACCAGGCACATTTCCCCATATGTCAGGTGGAGAAATCCGAGGTGGTGAAGAGAGAGCAGTATATGGAGCAAATATGTTCACAATGACTGCTATGTAAATAATTGAATAAAATATTAGTTTTAAGAGTCTTGTATGAATTTTCTTGGCATTAGCACCTGTTATTTAAACACACACACACCTTTAAAATCGTCAGTGAACCTGTTTTTTTAATAAGCTAACCATTTCTGAAAACGCATGCTATTCCATTTATTTTTATAAACTGAAATCAACTGTAAACGAAGTGGGAGAGTTTCTTATTGGAAAAAATTTCTCCCAAAAGCCTTTTGATAAAGTGGACATTATTTTTGAAAGCTATGTTGACATTTGATTTTCGGTCTGTGCAGCGTTTGTGGCGGAAAAAACCCCTGGGTCCCTCTGGTCAGACAGCCCTCCACTGAAATCCCTGTAAACAAGGTTGGTTTGTTGATCTGCAAACGGTTTCAAAGATCGTTGTTGTGGAGTCAGAGAAGGAGACAGGACAGCAGAAGAATAATCTGGCCCTGGCCGGGGTGGCTCAGTGGGTGGCGCATCATCTGGTGCACCCAGGTTGGGTTCCCCGTCAGGGCACATGCCTGGGTTGTGGGCTTGATCCCCAGTAGGGGGCGTGCAGGAGGCAGCTGATGTTTCTCCCCGCCTCTCTGTCTAAAATCAATTTTTTAAAAAGCATATTTAAGAAAAGAAGAACCATCTCTCTTGGAAGAACTGTGAGAAACAGTCGACCCGTCGCCCGCTGCTGGTTTCGAAGCTGGAGGAAGAGGCCCTGAGCCTGTGAACCTGGGGAGCCTCTAGAAGCCAGAAAGAGCAAGGAAACAGATGGTCCCCCAAAAGGAGCCCGGACCTACTGCCACCTTGAATTGAGCCCAGTGAGACTCATTTCAGACTTCGGAACTCTAGAACTTTAAGATAATAAATTTCTGTTGTTTTAAGTCATTAAAAAGGGGGAGGGGGCAGGGGTGGGCTAGAAGGGGTCCATGAGGAAAAAAGGGAACACCTGCAACACTTTCAACAATAAAGATTTTTTTAATAAAGATGGTTGAGAAGAGGTCACGCAGAGCACTGTGCTTGCCACGTGAGAGGTGCTCAGTAACTATGACGTTGTTTGGGGGACGACTGTAATCTGGTTTGTTCAAAGTGAGGAAAATCATTGAGAGTAAAGGCATTCTCTTCAACTCGACTTCCACACTCTGACTCCTGGCACGGGAGCGCCTGTTAGACAACGCACCCTGGCCTTGGTCGTATCGCGAACAGTTGGGACAGGATCTGCCTTGTGCTTTAGAAAAACTCGCTAAGGGGAGAGCAGTGTCTTTGCACAGCCTGAGGGGTGACATGGGGCCGCCACTCACAGAACAGGGTGCCTGTGCACCTGGCAGCAGCAACTCCATGCGGGTCGTGGGTAGCTGGGGCAGCACGAAGGCAGCAGAACAAGGCCGGAACAGAAACACGAAACTCACTGGTCCCCAAGCACCACTGAAGCCATGTCCTCAGGCCCTGGGAGGTTACACTCAAGTGAGGTAGAATCTGACTGTTTGCGCGGTGGGATTACAAGATGTCTGCTAGGAGCCGGTCCATCCTTGCTGTTTCAAGGGACCTGGCATATATGGCATACTGTTCTTAATATGTTTGGTCACCTTCTTGGCACTATGTGTTTTAACCAAGGTCACCTCTCCGAGAAAGGTTGTTTCCCCAGGTAGAGATTTTCCCCTGAAGTTAGGGAGGGAATAAAACCCCTTCACTAAGTGCCAGGCAGGTAGTTAATCTCTTTAACTATGAACAATCATGCTTAAACTACATAATCTTTACTCCCTGGAATGGAGATAAGAACCTCCCTAACCTTTGGAATAGAGATTGATAGGATTAGAATCAACTGGTATAAATACAGATGCAACAAGACAACAGGAGACAGAACTTAGACACAGAACTTAGATGAGGATCCGAGAGACAGAACTTAGAGACAGAACTTAGGACAGAGCCTGCGCAGAGCCTGGAGACGGAGGAACATGGACACAGAACTTGGCTGGAGATTGTGGCTAGAGATCCTGGCAAGGCTGCTGATCAACTGAACGCTGTCTCCGTGTCATTCCTTCTTCGCCGACTCCGTCCACACCTTTGGGGAACCCCTGGACCCACTGGGGTCAGACCCCAGCAGATGTCTTAACTGAGCATCAAAATACTGTGTCCCCATCTCTGAGTCACACGTGCTGTTTGTTTCACAGCACAGAAATAACTTCTGTTTCAGTGATTGGACTTGGACTGGGGAGAGTTTCGAAATTTCGAGAGCCTCACCTCGCCTTTTGTTTTGTTTTGTATTGTTTTGTTTTTTAGTCATAAGGACCTCTGAGCCCTCGGTTGGGGGGTGGGGAAGTTAGAGAGAGAACACAAAGGCAGAAGATAAAGTCTAGCTACAGCTATGTGAAACGAGGAGATGACTCAGGGAGCTTCATCGTGTTTTTATTTGTGTTTGTGCTTCATTTCCCTCTGCTTCCACTTGCCACCACACCTACTTCCAATGTCAGTAACTCGCACTGGCTTTCCTGTCATCCATAGCAGGAGTGATGTCAAGGAAACGGTTCTTCACTCATTACGTCTTGCTTTTCTTAGAAATTGCCCTCTTTAAGGAAGTGCCTTCAGTTTCTCTTCTCGCCCTTCATTTGCTCCAACGTCGCCTGCTGTCATCCGAGCGCATGGGACCAGGTCTCCTGCTCCCTGATTGGGTGCAGTTTGAGCAGCTTGCTGCCCCAAGCAGGGCAAGCTAGGGCAGGATAGGGCTGCCTGCTCACTGTCATCCCAACAACTCAAACTTTGTCTCTCTGAATAGCATATCTCTCTCCTCGGAGCAAAGACTGTTTATTTGAGGAACTGTGAAAACAAACCAGCATTCTCACTTTAGGCATTAAAACAACCTTAGAATTTAAGAACATAGCAGGAACTCTGAAAATCATCTGGCCCAAACCTCTCATTTGGAAGATGAAGAGAATGAGGGCTAGAAAAACGGAGGTT